ATATACAAAATCTTTTGAAGGCCCCCCATGCCCACCCTGAGCCCGCTCCTTCAGGACAAACAGAGGACAGACTCTATTCGCAGACATGCCCTGGTCAGGGTGCAGACCTGGGAACAGACCCGCCACCCCCAGGAGGAAGGTGGCCTTGGCCTCTGTGCTGGCGTGGTCACTAGCTCACAGTGTGACCTTGGGCAAGTCCCTTCTACTCGGGGGGCGGGGAGAACGGGTTATGGGGATAATTGCAAGCACCTCTTCCAGCTTCAAAACCAAGACACTGGAAAGGCTCGGCTCTCCCTGCGAAGCCTCTAGGGTCCCCCATGCACAGCAGGAGGGGGAGGGGCTGCTCCATCAGCCTGTGCACCCCAGGGAGCTGAGCTGGAGACCTCACATTTAAAGCCATGGGAGCTCATGAGTCCTTGGAACTGGAATGGACAGGAGGCCCGGTGCAACCCAGTATTTTGTGATTTAGGGACTGAAGTCCAAAGAGAGGAAAGGACCCCCAGCCCCCAGGGTTTTCAGCTGGTTGACTCGGTGGTGGCTCTGGGACCCTGACTCAAAGTCCAGCTCCCTATGGCAACCCACCCTGCCTTCCTTACGAAGTCCTCTTGGCCCACCACATGCCCATGGGGACTTCCTGTCCCAGCTCCCACCCAAAGAGGCACAAATCCCAAAGGAACTCCAAGAGCTTATATCCCTCAGGCCCTGAGCCTCAGAACCCCGGCCCCTCTCCCGGACACAGGGAGTCCTGGAAGCCGCCTGGGGTTTAAGCTGATGTGATGGATGTGGACAGTCATGTGTGAGAGCAAGGGAAGCTGGGTCAGTTATGGGGTCACTCAACCCTCCAACTGTGGGACAGCTGTGAATAATAAGGGGTCTCCCCCAAACACGCGTGGAACCAGCATCAACCCCTTCTCTCCATTGGCAGTGGCGGCCAATGCAGGGCCCCGGCACTGACTCTCAGATGGAGAGCAAACTCCCCGTTATCTGTGTGAGTGAAGAGGGGGTGCTTGGGAAGTGGGAGAAAATAAATTAACCAATAAAAACAACACCGGAACCGGAAGCAATCCAAAGCGCTTGCTTATCCGCTGCATTTGTGATTGGAGAGGCGAGACTCGGCCTTTCCAAACCCTCAGGGCTCATCTGACACTTGGTGGTCAAGTCGCTTTCCCTGAGCACACCCTGCTGGGCAGGGGGTGGGGGTGGGGCAGGCCTGAAAGGTGTTGGGGGAGTTGACAGCGAGACTCAACTGTCCCTGGATGTAAACATCACCATGGAAACCCCACAAAGACTTGCCAGTAAAGATTCCCCTTCCACCTGCAGGAGGAGGAGGACACCCCGAGCCTACACCGTGCTCTCCATCACCCACTCGGAGCTGCCAAACGTGCCCCGGGCCCCCACAAGGTCACTCTCCTCAAAGGGCAAGAGCATGCCATTGACAGAGAGGCTGCGCTTCGTCCAGATGTTCGAGACCCTCCGAGGGGGGCTGTAGCCACCCGGGGCGCCCCCTCCCGCTGCCACCGCTGCAGCTGCGAAGTCCCCCATGTCGAAGGAATGGCTGCGTTTGGCCTTGCCCTCCAGGGGCAGGGGGAGCAGGCTCTTGGCCCGGGCCGCAGGTGGTCCCAGCAGCGGCTCTCGGTCCGAGTAGTGGCCCTGGCCGGCGTCCCAGACCCTCTCCCGCCTGGAGTCCTGGAGTCCAGCAGCTCCTCCCTTCTCTGACTCTTGAGGTCCAGGGAGGCGAAGGCCCCCATCAGCGGTCAAGG